CTCCAAGTAGTTGGCCAGGAGGCCCCGAAGATATTGAGGCACTCCGTGGAATCGGAGCGCCTCTAGGATGGTGGAATGGGGGACAGAGTTGAATGCGTTGGCTATGTCGAACGACACAGCCAACAGTCCTTCCCCTTCTTCTACGGCCTCCTGAACCTGGCCCTTGAGGCGGCACGACGACGACGGAAAGCATCAAACCTCAAGAAATGTACCAAGTGAAGGACAGAAATACGTGGCGCTTAGTATTTATATTGCAATAATATATGACAGTAGTGCCAAACTATGTATATATTTACGTCTATTACATATATATGTCGCAGAATCATTAAAGATGCACAACTATCGAGTATCGTTATCTTAGAACAACGCCATCTGTTATCATTTGTCGGAAACGTCAAGCGGTGTGCTTGGGTGATGGTCGGTACGGGGCGTGGCATATTGGCATTTTGAAAGGCGTCACTTTTGAGTTGGGCACGAGGGTGAGCGGTTGTTCGGTCAGCCCGTACCGAACTTACCGCGTTTCCGAAGGTAATCTGTTTCCATCGCTTTAATCAATTAAGATTTTGTTAATTTATTATGAGACGATTATAATCAGTGTTGAGACTATTATTTCTTACCTACACCATGTCTAACTTGGAATCCGATGACGAAGTACCCCCAATTGGTGCATTTTCTCCGACATATATTAAATATCTATAAACTCATTGGTCGCGATGTTCTGTGTTGCTACAATACAAATACAAAATTTATACAAGCCCAAACACAAGGTAGTTACTGTATACCGTTGAGGAATTCCCTTAACAATTACACCTTTTCATCATCAGGCCCTTGACGACAGTCTCACTCCATCTGTGTCAAGTTCTCATCAACACAAATTACTCAAGCCCGAACACAAGGTAGTTACTGTTAACCGTTGAAGAGTTCTCTTAACAATTACATTTCTTTATCATCAGACCCTTAATGACAGTCCCACTTCGTCTAGGTGTAAAGTTCTCATCAATACAAATTACACAAGCCGAAACACAGAATAGTTAAGGTAAATCGTTGAAGAGTTCGTTTCAATTAGAGGTAAACCTCTTCATCATCAGGTCCTTAATGACAGTCCCATCCACTCCGTCTAGGTGTAAAGTTCTTATCAATACAACTTATTAAAGCCCAAACATGAAGTAGTTGTTTACTTATTGAAAATATCAACAAACGCTAGTGCGTTTATAACTTAACACTACTTGTCCCAACACTAATTGTCCTAGTTGTCCCTATAAGTTTCAAAAGTTCCCTTCGGTTTCCCTAGGATCCTGTCATCAGATCCTGACCTGGTGACAATGGGACCACCTCGGAAGTGTATCCTTTTCAAACAAAAGAAGAATTTTGATAATCGGTCCATAAATAGCGGAGTAATCGGTGAATATACATATAAAAAAAAACAATCATCGGAACATAGTACCGCCTCCTTTTCTTTAAGTCAGTAAAAACACGTCTAACTCTATGTAGGTACCTAATAACGTCCTTTATTTCTAATGCCGGACCTTAGTTCGGCCCCGTTTAAGCTATTTTGCGCATGTGTGTTTTTGGCTTCACAATCTAATGTTTGGTCGGCTTCTCCTTGTATGTCTGTGGATGGAAGTTTTTATGGAGCATTTCGCATTTTTTAAGGTAGAAAGCCAAATTGGTATGCGGACTATTTGTGGCAAAAAAATTGCGCAACCCCTTTAATTATAGAGTGCGAGCAAGCAGTATTCTGAAACTAATTCATGAATAAAATATATTTAATTAACTTGAATTAGTAATTTTTCCCACCACAGTCACATGGGACTCATAACATGTAATTTTGCTATCATTTAAATTATGTTATGTCTTCAAACTCTAAATAGTGTATCCGAAACGTACAAATTAAAAATAGCCTTGCAACTTGCAACATTTTTGACATAAAACGTCACGTCATACGTCACGTTTATCACATACGCTAAGAGAAACACGGTGAATTTTGCAGGCAAAATAGTATCTTGTTGTGTCATCGATTTCAGAAATCAAATGTTCTCGCAATTATATCTACAAAGTTGATGAACTATAATGTAAACGACATGAGTGCTACAGACGGCATCGGTCGGTGAGCGAAATGTCGATAGAGTACGTACCGGTGAGTGAGGGGGAGCAGGACGAACCCATTGAACTACCAACTGAGGAAGACGGCTCTTTACTGCTTAGCACCGTAGCAGCACAATTTGCCGGTGCCAGCGGACTCAAGTACCGTGCAGCGGGCAGACTGCGTGGCTTGCGTCTCGTTGATGAACGCTTGTCGCCGCCGGCCGAAGGCTGGGGAGCGCACCGTTACTGGTGCGCCTTTCCTCGCGCCTCGCCTGAGCCTACTCCGCGGCCTCGTTGCTCTGACCTTATCGTACTCGGTTTACCCTGGAAGACAGGTGAAGATGCTGTACGCGACTACTTCGCAGCGTTTGGCGAGCTTCTCATGGTTCAAGTGAAACGCGACGCCAAGACAGGGTTATCCAAGGGTTTCGGTTTTATCAAGTTCGCCGAGTACGAATCACAGTTGCGAGCCCTAGGGCGACGCCACATGATTGATGGACGCTGGTGTGACGTGCGTATTCCTAACGGCAAGGACGGAGGAGCCAGCGCGCACCGGAAGGTATTTGTGGGCCGCTGCACCGAAAGCTTGACAGCGGAAGACTTGCGCGAGTACTTTGGTACGTTTGGCCAAGTCACAGATGTGTTTGTGCCGCGACCATTCCGTGCTTTCAGCTTTGTCACGTTCCTGGAGCCTGAAGTGGCCCAGTCACTATGTGGCCAAGACCACATTATCAAAGGCGTATCAGTTAACATCTCGACGGCGTCACCTAAACGGGAGCGAGGCGCGCGCGGCTCACAGCTTTTGGGTTGGGGGCTGGTGGAGGGCGGAGGGCGCGTGTTTAACTGGGCCGGAGACGCGTGGCCCCCGCAAACTGCCCCCGCACCGCCCGCGCCTCCGCTCGACAAGCCCTACCTCAAGTATGAGTGACATGCCACTGTGTACATAATTATAACCTCTCCCTTGGACCTGGCTCATGCCTAATATGTTCTTTGTTGATCACTGTCAAATTTTATATGAAATGTGTAAATAATATTATTATAATATAGTATGATGTTGTCCTGATGTTTCAATTACTAGAATCGACAAATACATCCTATATGCTATGTGACCAACTTTTGATTGCTTGCTCTGGAATTAAATCCAATAAGCGAGCAAATACCAACCCGATTAACTCTATTTTTGCTGAACTGCTTCTTTACCTGCCTGACAAGCATGAGGGTGATGGCCCGTTTCTCATGCACAAGGGTGCAGGTTCTAAACCTGGAATTTTCTAGGATTATTTAGATACCACTGACATCTGATGATGAAAAATACAGTCAGGAAACCTACCTGGATTGAAAATCACAAATTATTATTTTGAAAATTAATGCACCTAGACCAAGCATGGTAATTAATGAATATTTCTTCACCATGTGACAAGCGAGAGGCATTATTTAGCTTAGAAAAGACAAATTGTCATTTAAATAAGGGTTTATTAGTAATCTTCATGGTGGCTCCTATCAAAATGTATCTAATTCTTACCCACACTGCCATTTACCATGTGACGGATGAATATTAACTCGTCGAGTAGGTACCGGTTTTGTAGACACAATTATAGAACAATAGGTTGCGGTCACCGGTGACCGCTTGGTGTTTGACAGTTTAATAATGTTATATTGCTGACAGAACTAAAAATTAGTACACATATAGAAGGGAAGTTTGCAGTTTAGACTGTGAAGATAGTTGAAGTCAGGGGTAGCCGATGTAAGGCTTGGTTACGGTTCCTTCAAACTACAGAAACCATGCTCCGTTGCCTGTACTATCACTCCATTGCATTGGTTACATACTTTTGACTGCCACACCCGACACTGGTGCGGGTGGCGCCGCGGCTAGGTACCAGGCTAACAACTGTTTACGTATATCATGCTACTAGCTACTCCTGCGCAGTTTCACCCGCTGCTCAGTGCTGGGCTACATGCTACATTCCATTATAGGCATAGACCCCGGAAATACTATTACTAAAACTGCACAAAAAACAAAAATATAGCTAATACCTACTTAACGGTTATCCGACTTTACTTCGTCAAAGAGAGTTACGTAACGCTGAAAATATGTATTATTTCATTTTTTCCCAAAAACTAAACAATCTTACTTTCGGGAGTTCATTTCAGGGACTACTCGTATTTATAAAAGGGACATTCAAATCATCGCCTACTATTTACATACATCCCGTTCAAAACGGGACGTCAGTTCACGTTAGATATACTACGTACCTACCTATCCTCTACCTTGCCACACATAAATTATTTCGATTCTACGGTTTTGCTTTATGTATTTTTGAACAATACCTTTTATGTTTTACATACGTAGGTACACCTCTAATATATGTATAGTTATAGAATAGAGTTAAAAACGTGTGTGAAAATATTCGCGGGCTATCGTTAAGTTGCAGCATCCACCAAGACCCCAAGGCTTGCGCCTAAGGGCTCACGGTCGCGCGACGCGTCTAGGTTGCGTCTGTAATGAGCGGGAATAAAATAATCGTCCGGGATGAACGGCGGCCGCTAGTCGCCAGCCGGCCAACGTGGCCTGCCCCTCTCAGTATATATTGTATAGTCTATGCCTGCCCCGCAGCGCAGGATTGTTTTTCCCGCTCATCGCAGACGTAAGAGTCAAGCCTCGCCGCGTTACCGTGGCCTGGGTACGGCATTAGGGTTACCACAAGTTTGGAATTTTCCGGATGCAATTATTTGACTAGCAACTCGACTAGTTTCAAGTCGTCTAGAAGCATATTCATGACAGCTTTTCGCGACCCGCGACGCGACTGTCGCGCTGCTACGGTACAGTACAATGCTGCTCACGAAAGTTATAATACAAACACAATTAATAGCAGATTATAATGGTTAAATTATTCTTTATTTATTTAGTAAATTAAAATATGTAAGTAGGTACCTACCTAGGTCCTTGTTCAGTTTGGTGAAAATCGGCTAAGGTGAATACTACTTTTATTGTTTTTAGGTACCTAAGCCCAGGTATGGAGACCAACAACAACAGTAAGCACCCACACAATTCACATCAACAGTAGACAGTAGCAACAGTAAGTAAGGAACTAATTAGATAGGTAGGTACACTCAATTAGCATATCGTCCATCCTTCCATGGTTCCCGCCACCACGCCGCGCGCCGACTACGTAGGTAGGTAGTACTTAGGTATTTTGTTATCGCAAATACTTAGCCGCCCAATCGACTCTCGCAGCACCGCTGCCCACAGTCGTAGTTTCTGAAAACAGTTGGTATCATTTAAACTCGTAATCAACAGGGTAAGTAATGCTCCTCCCTCCCTGGCTAGGAAAAGTTCATACTTTCACATTCTGTTGCAGTGTCGGAGAGGTGAGAGGTCACTTCTAACATCCGAATGACTCTAAGCTGTAAGCCTAAGCATGACAGCAGCCGGATTAAATGACAGAAATGACCAGATATAGGTAACCAGGTACTCCTGGGTAGGTTCTACTTATTAATAGATGTTTGTGTTACTTATATATTATGACTTTAAAAATTCCTTTTAAAGCTCGTACACGTGGTTTTTACCGACTTCAAAAAAAGGAGGAAGTACTATGTTCGGCTGATTGTTGTTTTTTTTTTGTTTTCTACAGCATGGTGAGTAGGTTACGGAGCCGCGGAGAATTTAACGGGTTGCCGAGATTCCGGCTCAAAGAGCAGAAGTACCTACGAACGGGGTGGTTTTTAAAAAGAGTTTGACAAAGCGGGAGAAGTCATCCCTCGAAATAATTGAGGTACCTACGGACCTACCTACCTATATTTATTCTGTGTGAATAATAGAAATAAATATGTGATTTTTTAACGGGACTAAATCATCCTATGGCTTCTCCCGCCCCGGTGAGGCGACTATAAACCACCCTGCTGCACTTGGAAGTTGGAGTCCCGGCAACCTGTTAAGTCCTCCGCGGCTTCGTATCGGCATCAGCCCCATTGGGCGCCTTCTGTAGTGGTCTAATGGATCTTTTAGGCACGCGGGGAACGCGACGTCCCCTTCTCTCGGCCCTGGTTCTGTTCGGGCGGTGAGCTATCCGTGCTCGCCAAGAAATGTACCTATGGTACAATTTTATTTTTTCAGAACATAAATTATTACATTTCCAATTATTAGTATGTATCAGGATTGCAATAAAAAGTAATATGTAAAGCATTACACAGTGTTACGAATCAGCTGATGACTAACTTTGATACCATAGACATAGGTTGATACTTACCTACGTGAATTTTTCTTTGAAACTAGGTATGTATGTGTATGTATGTGTAGGTATGTGTATGTATGTGCTACTTTTATTTATTGTTTTGTTCTTTGCTAAATTCCGACCATTGTTTCTGCCTCGTTGGCCGAGTGGTCGCAAGTCCGACTGCCGGGCAAGGGGTCTCGAGTTCGATTCCCGGGTCGGGCAAAGTATTACTGGGTTTTTAAAAAAATCTCAGTAGTAGCACGGAGTCTGGAATTGTGCCCGGTATATAGCAATAGGCTCACCCCCATTACATGGGACTCATAACAAAAATAGTGAAAAGTAGGTGTTTTATTGTACAGTGGCATAATGTGCACCTCTGCCTACCCCTTCGGGGAAAAAAGGCGTGATGTTACGTTATGTTATGTTATGTTCGTGCAATGTCTCGCGTGGCCCCGCCCGTACACATTGACATGTCAGGTGATTCTGTTTATTTTATTTAAATTATTGTCACTTATTCTGAAATACTGTCGAACTTAAACCATTTACCAATTATACCCGTATTTTCAAGTATTGGCCAGAAACCTTTTCTTACATTGAACATTTATAACTTCTGTGACATGCTACCGAGAAATGTCACGGTTTAAACATTACATGTTGTATAGACTACGCTTCGAACATTATTTAACATAAGTAGATAAGTATCTGTTCTAAAATTTAATCAAAGTGAATAAATAATGAAAGTTTGTACCTCGATGAGCTCGTAACGGTAATGCCCGAAAAAGTGAAGTGTCAATTCTGGAGCCGGTGACATAGCGCGCTGCACTCAAGTAGGCGGCGGCCGCCCCGCCCAGCGCAGGGCGCGCGCGCGGCGCCGGCGCGGCCGCGGCCAGCACGCTGCGCCCGCCCGACACGCGCCGCAGCGGGGCCGGCGCGCCGGCCTCGTGCACCACTTCTCCCCTGCGCACGGCCTCAATGTCATACAGAATACTACTAAACATACGGCGGCCTAAAATATCATTATAATCATATTATTATAATTATGACAAATGCTTGCATCTTGGTAGAAACAAAGGCAAGGGTTTATGACGTAGCAACGACAAATCCGTATATCGATGTTGCAAAGTTTAAATCCTTATCCTTACTCCTTACTTATAATATTATATATCGGAAAGTGTGTTTGTTTGTTCCACTATCACACCATGACTACTAAACCGATTGCTTTGAATTTTTGCATATGTATAGTTAGAAGTCCGGATTAAATAATAGGGTACTTTTTTCCCGGAAAAACTTGATATTCCCGAGGGAAAACAAAAGTATAGATGGCGCTGTGTGTATTGGTATATGCCACATTGGCTTTTTACCCTTTTGTGACGCGAGCGAAGCCGCGGGTAAAAGCTAGTATTACATAAATGACGTCCAGCATCCAGCTATTTCGACAAATTACGCGCGAAAATGTCAATTTTAAATGCACTTCTAGCACTTATATTATTGAATAACATTTTGTTGTTCCTTAAATGATCTAAGCACCTATAAAATGTGATCAATTACCCGAGGATGTCCGCAAATCGATCCCGCAAATGTGGTGGCGGTGGCGGCTGGATAGCTGCATGGAGTGGCGCTGTTGTTGTAGGTGACCTGGCGTGCTCTGCTAAACTTTCCGTTTCACCTCTAGCTGCGCTCCTGCGTCAATTTATGAAGATTAACAGCGTGGTGACGGCAAGGTATCTACCGGCAATACATTTGTCACTCGCCCGTGTCGTAAGAGCCGACCAAGGATACTGCACGGTTGATGCGGTGGCTGGGCAACCGGCTACCGCGCAACGGTCGCGGGTTCGATTTCCTCACGGAACAATTCTTTGTGTGATCCACATGTTGTTGTTCCAGGACTTCCAGGTCTGGGTGTCATGTGTATGTGAACTTGTATGTTTGTAAACGCACCCACGACACAGAAGAAAATCCTAGTGTGGGGCCAACGTTTTCTTGGTCAATAGCCTAGTCGCACACAGACTGGAATAAACATTAATCACCACTCCAACTATTCCTAGTTAAAATTACCGATTTCAAACTCATCATTTAAGAAATTATAATTGATGCGTTATGGGTTCCTTCGCCGTATGTCTAAATAAACTTAGAAAATAAGTAGGTACATAATGTAACTTATAACACTGAAAAACATTGAAGGAAAACATCGCGAGGAAACCTATTTCTAATTATAAGTTTCTAATCGCCAACCCGCATTGAGCAAGCGTTGTGATTAATGCTCAAGGCTTCTGCGTGTTAGAAGAGACTTTCCTCAGCAGAGAGCATTTATAGGCTGTTGTTAATGATGATGAATGTAACTTATTAAAGTTAAGAAAGATAAACATACCTCCTAGCCCGTGATGCAGGTGGCGGCACAACTAACGCAGCGCCAACGGCAAAGTACGGGAACCTACAGGACGAAAAAATAAAGCATCTTCATTCGGAATGCTTTTTTTTTGTTAATGCATAAATTATTGAAATACCAAACTGCAAGATTATTCAAATACCTACTAACCGGAGTGCCTGTGGGGCAGTAGGTCGATCCCGTGGAGCATAGCGCATGAACGAATTTAGTAACGCCAAAGCAGGCGGCGAGGCAGAGGGCACCACTCGAGCTAATGGGACACCTGCACTGGATGGAAAACGAAACCGAAGGGCGTCAGCGAGCACGTATCCCTCGGGCCAATCGTCTCGGTCAGGAGTCCCCAACACTGCGCATATTTTATGCAACTGATCAATCTCAGAATTCCCCGGAAACAGCGGCCGACAAGTATACAATTCTGCCATAATGCAGCCGAGTGCCCATAAATCGATAGGCGCTCCATAACGGGTATCGTGCAGCAACACTTCCGGCGCCCGATACCACCGCGTAGATACGTAGTCTGTGTAAGGTGGCCGCGAACGAACTTCGCGAGCCAACCCTAGGTCGGCTATCTTGACCAGTTCGGGCCCAGCACATAGGAGGTTTTCCGGTTTTAGATCCCGGTGGAAGAAGCCATGTCGATGCATATGTGCTAGGCCTTGTAATACCTGGTACACGATGTTCCTCAGCACTGGCTCGGGAAAAGCACGCTCCGCATCGCGTATTAGTTGGTACAAGTTTCCTCGCATGTACTCGAACACAAAGTAAAGCGTGTCATTCTCGCGTATGACTTCCCGCAACTTGACGATATTGGCGTGGTTCAGTTTCTTAAGAGATTTAACCTCGCGCAGATTCATCGCCTCATCCCACGAATAGTATTTGCGTTTCATACGCTTAATGGCCACTTTCTCGCCAGTGTCGCGTCGCTGAGCCAGCACCACTGATCCGTACGTGCCGTCGCCGAGCTGTTGCAGCACCACATACCGGTTCATGATGTCGAGGCCAACTCTACATAATATTGTATTTAACAAGACCCACCATTTGCACCAAGTTTGTTTATAATGTGTTCTAATTGTTCATGTACGACATAGTTTACCATGTGAGTAGGTAGGTAGGTTCAATTAATTTATTAAATAGCTAATATTTAAAGCTATGTGCTTAGTTAAGCTTTACATTCTTGCATTGTGGCTGGATAAGTGAAATATCAATAAGTACAAAATTTTGTTGTAGGTAAACATTAATTAATTTAATAATAAAATATGTATGCCTAAAATATGTCACAACACACCATTGATGAGGCCAACCACAAGGTTGTCACTTATTTACCATTTACTTAAGTGCCTACCTACCATTAATTGGTGGTGATCTCATTTGGACACAACACAAGCAACAACATTATTTGTATTTAACGAAAATGGCTAATATTAAAAGGTTTACACAAGTTGTTAAAAATAATAACCGATTTTAGTTAAATTGCTTCAACAAGTTCAACAATATGTACCACAAATACTCTGAAGGTAAATCTAAATTGATCTCAACAAGGAACAGCCATAACAAAGCCCAATGTTTTTTAAAATCCGTTTCCATGGTTATGCCGGAAATGTATTGACAGCGACACGTGTGTCGTGGCGCGAAAGAAGCCTTTAAGAAGGCTATCGGAACCAACGTCCGCGTAATTTACCAAGGGTAAGACAATGATAAAAGAACTCAACTTTTTTACGGTTAGGTAATTTTTGAGTGTTGTATAATTATTTTTTTTTACTAAAATATGGGTTTATAATTCACCAACAAAACCATATGAGAATTCGCCTATGGTCACAGTTGTTCTAATGATCACAATCAGCAGGTAAAATTAGCTAATGTAGCTTGAAATATGATTATCGATAAAATTGCTTTTTCTTTAATGTTAACTAAAAATCGCGGATTACTCACGTGAATATACTGAGAAAACCTCTATATAGTTGCGAACCACAAAGGAGTTCTTCCTCATGAGCAGCTACCGCGCATGCTTCTTTTCAGTTAAAATAGTATGTCTTACGATAGTTACCTATTATAAAATACAGTATGAATGTTCATTGCACTACAATATATTTTACCTATCCGACTTATTTTGTGTAGCTCGTTCTACTCTTGGAGCAATTTTTAAGCCTGAGACATCATCCGGGAGTTGACAACTTTTTAAAAAAAATTTGAGCTCTTCAGGTTTTATGAATAATACCCGTAAAATCGATAAGTACAAGATTATTTTTGTTTCGATTTTAGTTTACTACGCCACTATTTTTCAAAGTTTTAGACGAAATTCCATTATTTTCAATTAAAATACATGAAAATAAGTTTTCAGACAAGCAAGAAGCAAAATTATCTTTCTCCTCTCTTTAAAGAGGTAAAAGTCAAAATCTGTTTCATAAAAGGTTGTCTTTAACAAAATAATTGCCAAAATGACAACGGTGTTTTTTTTCTGCCTAGACAAAAAGGCGTAAGTGAAGAAGAAACGACACGCTGGTGTTAGCGCACGGGAGGTCGCATAAGGCGCCGGCCAGTTTGATGGTGACAGCTGTTGCGACACTCGATGAAAGAATCCGGCAACTGGGACTCAACTAATCATCATCAACAGCCTATAAATGCCCACTGCTGAGCAAAAGCCTCTTCTCACACGGATAATGTTTGAGCATTAATCACCACGCTTGCTCAATGCGGGTTGGCGATTACAAACTTATAATTAGAAATTATAAGCCCAGGTCTTCTCACAATGTTTTCCTTCACCGTTTGTCAGTGGTGTCTGAATAATCTTAGAAAGTATATAAAACTCGGAAAAAGTCACATTGGTGCTTGCCGTCGGTAAGTTTGAACCCGTACCCTCATGCATGACAAGCAGGCGTCTTAAGCCTCCGTGCCACCACGACGTTTTTTACTCGGACTCAACTGGGACTCCATAAGTCCGAGGCCTTGTGTTTTCAGCCTCGGCCAAGGCCAACAGACCACCACGGATGGGGCCCAGTAGGGCTGATGCCGATTCGGAGTCGCGGAGAACCTAACGGATTACCGGGGCTCCGGCTCGACGTGCAGGAGAAAGAACGGGGTGGTTTTTAGTCAGTAAGAGTCTGACACTCCCTCCCGCCTCACCCAGGCGGGAGCAGTAATTCGATGATTTTCCTCCCTTAACATTTTTACAATTAGACCAGGAAAGCACTTTTGAATGTCAGCAATAGAAATTTAAAAGTGAAGCTATTTGACAATTAGGTTTACTTATCTATTTTAACATACATA